AAACGGCTAGTATGTATATATATATATATATATATATATATATATATATATATATATATATATATATATAAAAGTTCTACTAATTACTTAAATCAAAGATATTAAACATCTCTAAAATATTTAATTTGTTTAAAATTAGATATGATGATTGGTTTAAAATAAATATTATATTTGTGTTAGATAACCAAAATTTTCGACCTGAATATTATGTTATATTAATTAAGTTGGACATCCGTGTATTTCAATCATGATCTTGTCATTGCTTTTCGATGGGTGTTAGTGTTTTCAGATGAGTTGATTTCAAATGGGCGACGAAAGATTAATGAAGAACATAAAATGGGTGAGGTTGTATAGTCGCGAGAGAGTCTTTGGGATATATATTTGTCATTTCAGGAGTAAATGGTTAGACTTAACGGAACTTAACAAGCGTAGTTAGCCAAATGAGCAATCCTTGCAATGAATTTCAAACTTAAGGACCACCTTTGCAATAAATTCCTCAAAAATACCAAACTCAATACGTTCTACCAAACACAAAGACTATTTATGTAATTTTGTCAAATAAAACGAGGGAATCATTTGTGCAACCTCATCTATATGGCTTCCGTCCAAAACTCAATAGCGCGTGAGGAGACCTGTTTGAAACAAGCTCCAAGTTACCATCATTGTTTCATTCATAGTTTCATACCCTCCAAGTTTGACTTCTATTTTAAGGTTATTTTTACAATATAATTAAAATATGGATCTAGTTTTTTATTTTTATCTTTTCATCCGAGTTACTGGTTTTCATTTATAATTGACAATGATAGGGTCTTGAATTGTTGCTTCTAAATTTTTGCCATGTGAAATCATAATTACGAATCTATATAAATTTTTTTTAAATCTTATATAAACCGAGAAAAACAATCAAACAAGGAATTGTTTCTACATGCTATGCTAGCCCATCTTTAAATTCATAGCTAATTTTGTGTGAACTTTACATTCAGCCTCGTTTACAAAGTAAATGTATTTTTTTAATGTTATAAGATTCCTATCAAGTTTTATAAAGTTTATAAGCTTTAATCTGCTGCCATATAAAAAATATACAAAATGCTTTTATACTTGATGATTCTACAGTTACTTTTTTTTAATAAGAAAAGCAATAGATAACTCGATAATTATGGTTGAACCTATACATTCGTTTGTTGGCCCAACAAAGAATTACTCAAGGTGTATACTCTAATTGACGGAAAAAAGTAATATAAAATTTCACAAAATAATAAGGTTTGACTTTGGCAACACTTTTGGAGTTGGTCAACAGATTATAGATGACTTTCCAACCTAAGAATGTTGAAGACTTGAAGTTGGTCAAGTTGTAGTGATATTTTTCTTTATTTTTAAGTAATAAAAAACTTAACATTATCTTTGGGACTTGTATTTTACTATTAAAAGATAAATTAAATGAAATTACTTATTATAAAGAGAAAACACGTTATAATAAAAAATGATTAGCATGAGTCCACGAAACATGCATGAGGGATCACTGTCCAATAGGTAGGTGAAAGCACTTTGACCTGAAATACCCACATGTTTGTCATTTGTGTTTCATAGAGCTTGTCAGATTAATTATTAACATATTGTAAAATTTTTTTTTAATTGATTTTGAGTTAAAGTTTGTGGAATATAAGATTTATTATAATTAAAGTTTTTATTCTAACATGTTTAAATCTTAAATGATTATTACTAGATCATTTTAATAGTGGTAGTTAATTGTTTTTATTAATCTATTGCTAAGCTAGCTAATTTTACATTAAAAAAAATAAAAAAAAATATTATAGTTCGAGAATTATGTCATGTACGATAAACATCGATTTTATGACACACATCGTCCTTTAGTGGTGATTGGATATTTCAGATGTTTCAATTCTTGGTCCCAAGTCATTTACAAGGTAGTTGACATCTTAAGCTTGCTTGGTACGTTAATTTCTGTTTATATGTATATGCTTTGGAGATCCGAAATGGGACTTTATTTGTTTCGTTAAAATCACTTTCTTTGCATTTCAAATAAATTAAAAATATGAGAGTTTAGATCGGTTAGCTTGACTAACAAATCCATCATTAGTTTTAAATATGGGTTGATTTTCTTGTGTTATAGCTATGCTTTTCTAATAAATTTTGGTCCCGTTAAAAAGAACAAACAATTTTAATATAGAATCAGTCCAATCTCAAACAAGAGAGTTATGAATATATGGTAGATTTGTTTTAAATTGAAAAATAAAAATACTTACCACCATCATTTTTTTTAAGTAGAAAAATGAGAAAATGGTTCAACTCAATTTCGATTTTGAACTAGACAATAATTGATCGGAAAAAAAAAATTCTAAATTGAGGGCCAAACCTACTTTTAGTCGGAGTTTATAACCAAGAACCAAATAAAAATAGTTGGTTTGTAGTTTAATTCTTTTGGTTTTATTATATTCCGTATTGGGTTTTATATACTCTTACTTTATAGGATTGTGATCGAGAGGTGTAATATTATATACATCTAATTACTATTTAAAATAGTTTAAATACAACATCACCACATGACCTATTTCCAGAAGTAACACACACGATTTTCAAAGGAAAAACACACATGGAGTTATTGTGATAATATCAAGACAAAACTTCAAAAATGGTCCCTGTGGTTTCCGAAAATATCAAGTTTAGTCCTTAAGTTCAAAAAACCTCACGGATCGTCCCTGTGGTTTCAAAACTTTTAATGTTTAGTCCTTCCGCCTAACTCCGTCAGCTTTCTGCCGTTAAGTGAGGGGCATTTTCGTCATTTCAATACCCAAGGACTATTTATGAGGTTTTCTCTATTAAAAAAAAAAGAAAAAAATATAATTATTTAATTAAAGGGCCCCACCTCTCTTTCTCTCTCTCTCTCACACACTTTTCCTTCCTCGCCTATTCTTCTTCGCCGGAGCTAAAAACAAACAACAGTTCTCTTGTTTCACTTGAAGCAGCTTCCAGCCACCCGATCCTTGTCATTCTCGTTGATTGTTGTGTTTGTTAATGCCTCTGGAAAGGGTGGAGTTAGGTACCGAGTCTAAGTACAAACAACGTTGATGGATTAGGCTGAGGAAAGTTGTTCGCCATCACCCCTTCTTTGACTTGGGCTACTCCGGCAGTGAAACTCGAAGGGAGGGGGCACCTGCAGTCCCCGATCAAAGTAGGGTGTTTGGGGGTTGAGCTTCGACGGGAAAGGTGGAGAGGGGGTTAGATCTGAG